TAAGGTAGGAAGAAATATTGGCCATTTAATACCAGTTATCTCTCTGGATATAATGAATCATTTTTCATTTATTTTCTTACTATTTTGTATTTCCTGAAAATATAAATTGAAGAGGTTCCCATTTCTTGAATACAGTGTATATGCATTACTTTTTAAATTACAGAAGTATTTCTGTTTTGAAAAAAAACAACAACAAAAAAACCCTTTCCCTTCATACATGGTATTTGATGTAGGACAAGATGTTTGGTAAAAGGAGACATTCTCTGATGGTTTCAACAGATGAACAGCAGCAGGGATAAACTTTGAGCCTTCGTCAAAGCAGCCTTATCCCACCCAGCTCTGGTGTTAACTAATGTCCAAATTAACAAAAGCTCCAAAAGATTTTGAACTGAAGTAAATTTAAAATAGACAATAAAACTAGGAACGGTTGGTTAACTTCAACTTTTAAATCTTCAGAAGGCCAATCGTTAATTTGTTCTCACATTCTAAAAAGAGAACAAAACTGAAAAAAGTGCAGCCAAAACAATCTGGAGAAAGAACAAAGCTGGAGGCATCATGCTCCCTGATTTCAAACACTATTACAAAACTATAGTAATTAAAACAGTATGGTATTGGCATAAAAACAGACATATGGATCAATGGAACAGAAGAGAGGGCCCAAAAACAAACCCACAAATATACAGTCAATTAATTTATGACAAAGGAGCCAAGTATATAATAGAGAAAGGACAGTCTCTTCAATAAATGGCGTTGGGAAAACTGGACCACTATCTTATACCATACACAAAAATTAACTCAAAATAAATTAAAAACTCGATCCTAAGACCTAAAACCATAAAATTCCTAGAAGAAAACACAGGTGGTAAGGTCTCTGGTGATGGTTTTTAAAAAATCTGGAACCAAAAGTAAAAGAAACAAAAGCAAAAGTAAACAAGGGGGATTACTTCAAACTGAAAAGCTTCTGCACAGCAAAAGAAACCATCAACAAAACAAAAGACAACCTATTGAATGGGGAAAATATTTACAAATCATGTATCCAATAAGAGGTTAATATCTAAAATATATGAAGAGCTTATACAACTTCAATAGCAAAAAAAATCTGATTTAAAAAATGGGCAAAAGATTTGAATACACATTTTTTCAAAGAAGACATGCAGATGGCCAACAGGTACTTGAAAAGATGCTCAATATCATTAATCATCAGGGAAATGCAAATCAAAACCACAATGAGATATGACCTCACACCTGTTAGAACGGCTATTACTCAAAAGACAAGAAAGAACAAGTGTTGGTGAGGATGTGAAGAAAAGAGAACCCATGTACACTGTTGGTGGGAATGTAAATTGGTGCAGCCACTATGGAAAACAGTATGAAGATTCCTCAAAAAATTAAAAATAGAACTACCATATGATCCAGTAATTCTCCTTCTAGGTATTTATCCAAAGAAAACAAAAACACTAACTCAAAAGAGATCATATGGTATTTGGAACAGCAAATACCATATGATCTCTTATATGGCAAATGTAAAAACAAAACAAAATAACACACACACACACAGACACACAAAATCCAAACTCACAGATACAGAAAACTGATTGGTGGTTGCCAGAGGTAGGGGTGGAGTAAGGGGATGGGAGAAATGGGTAACGGGGGTCAAAGGTAAAAAGAAAAATTTGAAAAAACTCTAATAACTAGTTGTGTCCCTCTATAAGACATGAAGATTTACCCAAATATTTTTTCTTTCTATTGGTTTGGTAAGCCTTGTGAGATATGGACACTTTTAAATTCAGATGAGAAACACTTACGTGAATGGGAACTTGAAGTCATTAGGCTTAATACAGCGCACGTAGTGAGGGGTAGTGGCATTGAGGGTCTCCATAAGCAGGTGAAGGGAGTTTCGGAACTGCATGAGAAAGAGCAAAAAGGGGCATCGACATTTTGTCAAAATCAAAGATGATGTAAAACAATTTAAAATTTTCTTCTAATCACAGTAGTAGAGATGACCTGGCTACCTATGAACTTGACCCACCCTCAGAAGGGGAGCTGCTACTATACAAGAAGCCTAGGGTTTTAGGTTATAATTTGCTTAAATTCTACCATTTACATGCTTACTCTGCTAAATATATATTCACTCTCTCCCATCCCTTTTCCTTACCCACCCTTTTTTTATAGACTTTATTTTCTTAAAGCAATTGCACGGTGACAACAAAATTGAAGAGAAGATACAGGAATTTCTCATACATCCCCTGCCCTCACACAGGCTCAGCCTCCTCTATTATCAACATCCCTCACCAGAGTGAGACATTTGTTACCACTGATGAACCTCCACTGACACATCATTTTCAGCCAAAGTCTACCATTTACATTAGAGTTCACTTTTCCCGCCTCCCTTTTAATACAGGTTTCTGTAGCTTTCTGTTGTGAACTCAGAATTTTGACTAAAAATATAACCTTGTTTTAAGAATATTAAGGTCATTTAATCATTCCCATCCGAAGCCCCTGCCCATTGTTCAGGCACTAAGCATGTGTATAATGTTTCCCACTCCCCACAGAGCATAAGACATCAAAGCAAGGGGAGGGTCTGTTCCCACTCTAAAGGAGCTGATGCTCTGTACAAATCCAGAGAGGAAACAACCTGAGAACAAAACAAAGGCAGCAGTGGACTGTGAGGGAGGTACGCAGTGGATGAATTAAGATATAGAGAAAACTATTTTGGGAAAGGCTTAAGCAGAGTCATGGGTCTAAAGCTACGTCGAGGGGCGTAGGTGAGGATGGTGTTACATTTTCTCACACTGAAAGATCTAGTCTCTCTCCTCTCACCTGAAGATCCTACCAGGGAGGCTGATGGGGGAAGACCTGAGGCTTCAGATGAGCCAGAGAGGAAGAAGCACAGCAGGGGCTTCCCTGAACTCACCTGGTGCCCCACAGTTTTCTTGTGCTCTTTGGCTGCCTGGCCTGGTCGGCCTTTTGTGGCCTTCGAAGGCATGCGGGTGAGGGGTGTGCGCCCTGAAGAGGTGGCTGAGGTTGGACTGATGGCCTTCTCATCATCTTGAAATAATTCTGGTAGCATCTTAAACTGAGTCAGAAACAATAAAAGGAAATTAAACTCTAAACCCAAACTCAAATGTAAACCTTTACAGAAACATTATGAAGATCTGTAATCCACAGTGATTTCCTTAAGTAAACCCTTTCAGAGTCACATTCCAGAAGTAATCAATATCTGTGTTGGAAGCCAAAAATATGAGAGGAAGGTGACATAAATGTTACAAAAATATAGGTGGAAAAATGCAATAATTCTACAAGTATGTTTGGGGGAAATAAAATCAAAACTACCCCACTAAAACTTGAAATCTTAATCCATAGGAATTGGCCACTCTAAACATATTACTGGTTTTGAACTACAATGATTTTATGAGCAAAATACTAATTGAAAGTCCTATCTTATTATCTCAATTCCATGAAATGTTTTATCACCATGTTTCATTTGTTTGCCCACTAATTCAAATGGTGAGCAATTGCTAAAAAAAAATCATGAAAATCTCAGCAG